TAGTGTGTCTGTATGTCTCTATTAATGTGCTTTTATATTTAAATAAGTCATAAAAATAAACTGACAAGTAAATATACAAAGTGTTTTTTTTATTAAGTTAAAGTATTAAATAAAAAAAAAACACTTTGTCTATTTATTGTACCAGTTTATTTTTATAACTTATTTAAATATAAAAGCACACTAGTAGGGACAGTTGCCTTATATTCTTTACACTCTTTTTCTTATTTCTTTTAACTTTCTTTAAATTTCCTTTAGAGTTTTAATTTATTCATATTTATTTCAGCCGGTTTTTAAAAATGAACTACTTCACTTTGACACTTTTTATTGGGATGATTTAATGTTTTATTTTAATTAATTTGACTTAAGGTATTCTCTTTACACGCATTTCAGTCCTTATTCTGTACTATATTGTAGTATCTTCATGTCTACATATATTTCCAGTTTAATTGTTCATTAAAATGAATTCCATTCTACATCTTTTGTTATTATGGGACACACTGACTTAATTTTACGCACTTGGCCATCAACGGATTTATTATAGCGAGCAACTTCTAGTATGTAAGTTATTGACAATTGTATTTTTTATTCACCCTGATGATGGTTCAATGCGGAACTGAAACGTTTTGTAGAAAATTTTATATTAAATATACTTGATTGTAAATGGCACTAATACCCGTGCAAGGTTGTTTGACTCTTTTATTAATACTTCTGTTATTAATGATGTAATATAATGATGTAATATCCTTGATAATATTGACCATATTTATTATTATTGTACATAATTGTTGACATATTAAGAAATCCTGAATGATATCTGTTATTGTTTTAACCTTCAAATGGTACATTTCTTAAGCACCCACTAATGGAACAATGATGCGAATTTGGATTTGATATCTTAAATTGTACAGCTTTCCTGAGGATAAAAACAAAAATGTTTTGAAAACCCTACTTTGTTGGGGTAAAATTTTCTCACAAATCTAACAGTATTACTCAATTTAATAGAAAAATCTATTTAACAATTGAAAATTAATTATAAATGAGCCCAGCAAACCACAGTATATAACTTAGATGTATATATTATATTACACAAGTGTCATAAATATTAAATGTAATATTATTTGTACAGTACATGTAACGTACTGGTACGGCTCTATGTCAGCAACTTTGAATGTATCATTTATGTATCAGATATATATAATTGCAACGTAACATATACGTCTTTTTTACATATTTCTATATTACCCTGTTAAAAAATTAATTTTTATTTTATTTTATTTTTAACATTATTTTTAGAGTTTACTTTGCGTTTACTATTTCACATATTTTCTATTTTATTAATTACAATTTATACGCGTTTATAATTTTTGAAAACATCGAGATTTGAACCTGAGATCCCTAGAACTGCAGACTTGTACGCTAACGCTGAGCTAATGATACTTTGTACATAGGACTTATTTTTTCTATTATATATTCTATATCTCTTGTATTTAAACAAATACTAACAGCCAACTTTAACAGCGGCGAGATATGACCGCTTCAACGCTATTCAACAGTATTCAACCAAACAAATACGCGTTTATTCGCCAATCTTTAAAAATTAATATCTCGTTAACGATTGCGAATTTTGCAAAATGTATAGAGGACTTTTCTGTTTAGTTTAATCTGCTTTCTTAAGCAGCTTACAAGATTTGATACGGTTATTACCGGACACCATGTATGTAGCAATTCAATTTTAAACCGATCGAGCAATCTGGACTGCGTTCGGAGAAATGTTTTTGTTTTATATTATCTATATAGTGTTT